AGAAAGTCGCCAGTTCTCACCATCCAGCTCCACAGATACTCCGCGTAGTAAAGTTGTCCTACAAAGTCGCCAGTTCTCAGCTTCTAGCTGCACAGATTGCTCCGCGTACTAAAGTTGTACTAGAAAGTCGCCAGTTCTCAGCTTCCAGCTCCACAGATACTCCGCGTACTAAAGATGTACTACAAAGTCGCCAGTTCTCATCGTCCAGCTTGCCAGATACTCCGCATACTAAAGTTGTACTACAAAGTCGCCAGTTCTCAGCTTCCAGCTCCCCAGATGCTGTGCCTGCCACGAAATCTGCACATGGAGGTTCACAAAGTGCTGTGCCTGCCACGAAATCTGCACATGGAGGTTCACAAAGTGCTGTGCCTGCCACGAAATCTGCACATGGAGGTTCACAAAGTCCTGCACCTGCCACGAAATCTGCACATGGAGGTTCACAAAGTGCTGCACCTGCCACGACATCTGCACATGGAGGTTCACAAAGTGCTGCGCCTGCCACGAAATCTGCACATGGAGGTTCACAAAGTGCTGCACCTGCCACGAAATCTGCACATGGAGGTTCACAAAGTGTTGTGCCTGCCACGAAATCTGCACACGCAGGTTCACAAAGTGCTGTGCCTGCCACGAAATCTGCGCTTCAAGAAACAAGTGAAAACTCTAATCCCAATGGAGGGACGATTCCGACCGTGCCCGAGAATGACCCGAGACCGTCTCGCAACCGTCGTTCCGCAGACCTTGACTTGCCAGCTTCGGAGCCACCGGTTCCATTGAAAAATACAGCATTTCGTGCGTTCGCTATCTCTCCACAACGCATTTTGTATTGCGCCTGCCACGAAATCTGCACATGGAGGTGCAAAAAGTCCTGTGCCTGCCACGAAATCTGCACATGGAGGTTCACAAAGTGCTGCGCCTGCCACGACATCTGCACATGGAGGTTCACAAAGTGCTGCACCTGCCACGAAATCTGCACATGGAGGTTCACAAAGTGCTGCACCTGCCACGAAATCTGCACATGGAGGTTCACAAAGTGTTGTGCCTGCCACGAAATCTGCACATGCAGGTTCACAAAGTGCTGTGCCTGCCACGAAATCTGCACTTCAAGAAACAAGTGAAAACTCTAATCCCAATGGAGGGACGATTCCGACCATGCCCGAGAATGACCCGAGACCGTCTCGCAACCGTCGTTCCGCAGACCTTGACTTGCCAGCTTCGGAGCCACCGGTTCCATTGAAAAATACAGCATTTCGTGCGTTCGCTATCTCTCCACAACGCATTTTGTATTGCGCCTGCCACGAAATCTGCACATGGAGGTGCAAAAAGTGCTGCGCCTGCCACGAAATCTGCACATGGAGGTGCACAAAGTGCTGTGCCTGCCACGAAATCTGCACATGGAGGTTCACAAAGCGCTGCACCTGCCACGAAATCTGCACATGGAGGTTCGCAAAGTGCTGTGCCTGCCACGAAATCTGCACATGGAGGTTCACAAAGTGCTGCACCTGCCACGAAATCTGCACCTGGAGCTGGAGTTGCCTGGAGCTTGAGCTGTTGAAACCAGAGCTAACTGGAGCTAGAGCTATTGAAACTAAGAGCTTATTGGAGCTAGAGCTATTGACACCAGAGCCAACTGGAGGTAGAGCAAACTGGATGATAAGTAGTGTATGATGAGTGGTGTATGATGAGTGGTGCATGATGAGTGGTGTATGATGAGTGGTGTATGATGAGTGGTGTATGATGAGTGGTGTATGGTGACTGGTGTATAAAGAGTGGTGTATGATGAGTGGTGTATGATGACTGGTGTATGATGAGTGGTGTATGATGAGTGATGTATGATGAGTGGTTGTATGATGACTGGTGTATGATGAGTGGTGTATGATGAGTGGTGTATGATGAGTGGTGTATGATGAGCGGTGTATGATGAGTGGTGTGTGATGAGTGGTGTATGATGAGTGGTGTATGATGAGTAGTGTATGATGAGTGGTGTATGATGAGCGGTGTATGATGAGTGGTGTATGATGAGTGGTGTGTGATGAGTGGTGTATGATGAGTGGTGTATGATGAGTGGTGTATGATG